CTGTGGGTGGGACAGGGTATGAGTACTTTTGAAGCTTCCTAGATGATTTCAATGAGGAATCCAGGCTGAGAACCAGGGTTTTAAACCCTTTTCTGCTCAGCCACACATTTTCTCATCCTATTCTGATGCAGTTGATTTTCAGACCTAAATACAATAATCTGCATTCTCATTAAATTTCTCTTTCAATCCTTTCAACTCCTGCTTCCAGCATTCATTATATTATCTAACCCTCTTAGCTCTGTGCCAAGCTGGAAATTTGATAAACATCCAAATCAGTATTTTTCACTTTTTAACCAACCTTTCCTTATATTATGTATAAAAATTTCACTACCTTATTTCTGATGTATCCCTTAAGAAAGATGCCTCTCCCCACCCTCCCACTCCCTGCTCTAGTTAGATATTTCTAACATGAAGTAGAATTGATACCTCCTGCGTATCCCCACTGGAAGAGAGGACTTTGTAAACTTTACTCCTGTTGTCTAAATTATGTACAACTTTAATTTCTCAAATACACAATTATTTTATAATACTAAAGTTTTTTTCAAAATAACTCCCATGATTGCACTAAATATACCACACTAAGATGTTAATAATAAGGGAGACTGTGTGTCAGGGGTATACGGAAACTCCATTATCTTTGTCACTTTTCCACAAATCTAAAACTATTCTAAAATGTAAAGTTTATTTTTATTTTTAAAAAGTCCACAAAATTCTGATGTGAACCTCTAGCCCCAACCTCACACTCAAAACCAACTACATTTGAGAATTAGTGATACATATCCAGGTAAAAAGTAGTGGTCAAGGTCTCTGGTCCGTCTCTAGAGCATTTCCCATGAGGTGACAGTGTTTATAGGTTAGCAATGAAGTTAGACGGACCTGGCATCAAATTCCAGCTCCTCCACTACCTAGTTGTATGATTTGAGGTGGTTAACTAATCTTTCTGAACCTTGTTACCCAATAATTAAAGATAATACTTGATTAAATAAACTAATATACATAAAGCAGTTAATACAGTGCCTGCCACAAGTAAAGTGATTATTAATACTGTCATTCTTAATGTCTCATCCTGAAATTAAAGATAAAGTTAACTCTATCATCATCTAGCCCACATTTTCAGATCTTGTCCATGTGAATATCATGGCTGGCTTTGCTGAATCTCGATACAAAGAATTTCTCTTCCCTCTCTGTTTGGACAATGAAAAAGACTCCAATGATTCTGGTATGAGACAGCTCTGGGGTGAAAAGCCTGGGTGTGGACAGAAAACGAAGTTAAAGTCCTGCCTCTCTCCTTTACCTCCATGACCTTAGGCAAGTTATTTAGCACCCTGAGAATTTCTCATCTGTAAAAATAATAGCAAAATAATAGCTGCCCCAGTCCCCCACTATCTTGTGAAGATCACATGAGACAATATAAGTCCACAAAGTTGCTTTGAAATATTGAAATCATTAATAGATTTAATGTGGAACATGCCTAATAATCACTATTATTTGTAAGTAATCTTAATTTTTTCCAACTAATCATTCCTTGCTGTCCCCTCTCAACTCACAAAGAATGGGCTTAGAAGTCTCTTATAGAATTTTACTGAAGAATCACAGCAAGCTCATAATTCTGGAGTTACTATAATATACGATCTCCTCTTTTTAAGAAAAGTAATAGGATTTTGCCAAGCCCTAGTTTTATAGCACCCTTTTATTCCAATATCCCTCACTTGGACCACATTTGCAACTTTTCTCAATTTTGGGATATGTCTTTGAACAAAATTGGGTGTCTGCAATTCATCTGAGCATTCAGGAGTTATAATCCACTTTGTCTTATGTTCTTATTTAGAGTACAGTTGCTCTTTTCATGTGTGCTAAGCAGAAAGTTCCCTCCTGTGTAGTAATGTAGACTTGAACTCGATACCAGCTTGGTTCACAAATATTTGAAAATAAAGAAAACAATATAAACACGATAGGGATGACACTGAGGTTAAATATTTTGGTAATAGCAATAGATAAGGTTCATTGAACCCACACTTTTTATTAACTTATTTACATGCATTATTTTGGTAAACCTTGAAGTAAGAAGTGCAACTCAAGATTATTTGCTACCCATTTATCAAAATTTCAATTTTGAGAGCTTCCATTCCTTGCACTATCTCTTACATTTCTCTTGGAGTTTTTCAAACTTTCATTTTATCAGCAACTCTTTCTATTGCAAATTAGGCCCCAAGTAACATTTATCTGAACCTGACTGTATTTACTAATTTATTTTAAATTTCATTTAAATTTAATGGTAGAGACCTTTACTAAATTAATGTAACATTTTAGTGAGGTCATAATAAGCAGAATCCTTAAAATAAATTACATAAATATATAAATATATAAAGTTGTATTTTTCTTTAAGAGAAAGGTTGAATGGTTTTAAAGAAAGGTTTTTGAGAGCATTGGATAAAAGCATAAATCCATTACAACTTCTTACAACAGATGATTGTGTGGTATTTAAAAGCCTAATGTATGCTACACATTTTAACTTTGGCTGACATGAGGTGTATATTGATGTCGGAGGAAATTTGATACATTGAGGCCTACAGGATTGAGCCAGGAAGGCCAGTGAGATACGCACAATGATTTGCTTCCCCTTCGCCCCGTTGGGCGCCGTCTGCTTGACCAGTCTAGAGAAGTAATTTTTGTTCAGGAATAAGACACCCTTTTCTATGGCATTCTAACTTTCCTTTTCAACCTTGCTGCAAAATTACTGTACGCTGACATGCAATACCTCTGTAAAAACTAACCTCCTGTCCCTCGGCTGTACTAATAGAAAAACCTCTCTGTCCCGGTTTAAAAAAAATGCAGCATTCATTTCATCCTCGTGATCGTTTTCTTTTTTATATAATAATAAAAATTCAAAATATCTCTTTTTAAAAAATTGTACTTAGAATATATAGAACTCTTTCCTTCAGGAGATAAGAGGAAGCACATACACTCACATCATGGGGTACACTGCAAATATTTGATTCTGTAAATCTTGCCTTTTGTATGTATAGTTCAAACTCTTTTGTTGTACAGAAGTACAGTTGAGCTATGACTAGATGCAGGGGTTATGTGTTGTGTTACTGAGTCATATAAAAATTTGCTCTACTCTGCATAAAACAGCTCTATCTATAAAACAGCGAAAGAAAAAATGCACACTATTTTCTAGAAGATTAAATTCTTGCAATGATTGTTACCTGGCCTTTGCTGGTAACAGGCTGTGAAAAACAGAAGTCCACCTTCCAGATGATGGAAGGCATTGCCTTTATCCAGGTGGACCCACACTGAGTGGGACTGTTGTTGTTCATTTGTTGATGTAAGTGAGCCGTAAATTTATGGGCACTCCAGGACAAAAATCTCTAGCTCTAGCTATGGACTTCAGTGGACCCAAATGATAGCTCTGGAACCTGCCATTTCTTTTGATCAAATAAATTTAAACCTTCCTCTTTTAATACTACAATTTTAAAACAATATTTTCTTTCAATAAGGAGAAGCTGAATAAAAAGAGAGCTGATGAATTTCAACTAACTTTTAAGAGTAATAACTGTCTACGAATAAAAACACGTATTCCTTGAAGTCTATTTGCTTTACTTCTTGAAACTTCTACTCAGAAAATACTGTGTTTCCACATAAAGGCAACTGTCCAGAATTTTAAGTACATTTCTTCCCCAATATTCTCAAAATAAAAATAATATTTGAATTTTAATAATGTGGGATTATTTTCTTTCACCAAGCAAATTTAAAATTACTTTGATAATGTATGCTAAAAACAGCAAACTACAAGGTGACATATTTTTCCTAATTGACTGAACAAGCTAGCCAACTGTCAGTACAAGGCCAGCTTCCAGCTACTGCTTCTGATGGGTTATGTCCTAACCAGTGGAACAACCTCTTGGGCCACTCTTCTTGAGGCCAAGTGGCAGTCAAGACCTATAGGGTCTTTGCATGCAGAAGGCCCCACCAAAAAACCTGGAACATATTTAAAAGTAAAAAAAATGAGGCCAACATGGGCTAAAATACTTGCCTACATTGTCAAGAGGATTGAAGCAATAGACATATATAAAGACTTACTCTTACGTTTGTCCAAAGGGACTTGGATATAGCAGAGGATATCACAGGATGAAATGTCAATACAGAAGGAACAGAGGATAACTCATTGATATGGAATTTCACTCTGGGAATTAAAGTTCATCATATAATCATAGTGGTCTTATCAAAACCAGTAAAGGATAATGCAATCCACTGTCATCAAAAGCTCACACCACTGGTATACCGGTGTATGTAGAAACAGAGAAACATCTCAGTCACTCCTGACATCAAATGTACTTAACATAGTGACCATGCATATCTCATGAGTCAATGAATATTTTATAAAATTTTGACATTTCACATGAAGTAATTTGTAGTTGTAGCTTTTTCTCCACCCTCCCTTCCTTTTCCTTCCCTTCCCCACCCCAAGTGTGTTTAAATCATGAAATTTCAGTGGAAATCACTTGTACTACAATTTTGAGACTCATGCACTCCAAGCTGTATAAAACATCCTGATTGCTGCATGAAAATATAGACACCATTTTAGGGTAGAACAAATACATTCTGCACATAAGTTGCATTTCTGAAATGCTTTCTTTTTCAAGCTCCAAATACCTTTCTTGACAAGACAGAGCAGCAGTGTTTGGAAAGCATTAGCATGTCAACAGATGCTCAGAATCAAATGACTTAATAGGCAGAAACTTTTTTCCCCAAATAATTGCAAAGCTTTGGTCTAGCCTTTTGCATACCTTGCATAGTTAATTACCTAGGCCTTAATGTTTACATGCAATGAGAGTATCTCCAGCTATAAACTACATAATTTATAATTGATGTAAATGGGTGTTATTATGTCAATTAGGCAGCTGTGTCCTCCACCTCTTGGTAAACAGCTTTGAGTGATAAACTGAGTTTGCAGAGAAGTAACCTTCTTTTCTTCATAACAGATAAAAATAAATTACCTAGGTAGACCAGGCTGTCCAATTGTTCTCTGGTGATGTGGATGGAACATCCAGACCCTTGCTTTTGACCTGTTGACTGTAGCAAATGGTCAATTTCGTCACGCAGCACTGCCATAGCTTCTGGGTGCCGTAGAAGGTAATAGATCGTCCAGAATACAGTTGGAACAGTGTTTGCCACAGAGGCCCAGAGAAAGCCTAAATGATGTGCTGGGAGAAAATAAGTGAAAAGGAAGATTAATAGCGTTTATTACACTGATTAGATTTGCAGTGTGCTAATTAAAAGATGTTAGGACACAGACCCAGCCAAGGATCAGTGCATGCTAATGAGGACCAATAGGCTTCTGAAGTCTAATTTTCTGCTTAATGAGAATAGTTTAAAATGTAATGTGTGTAGGGGGGTGGGGTGGGGAGAAAGGGGGTGAGATAAGAGGAGTGAATGCAGCTTAGTTATACTCTCTCTCATTATCACCATTAAGTATCTTGTTTTACCACCTCAGCAAAAAAAAAAAAAAAAAAAAAAAAAA